CTTTCCTTCCTTTCCTTTTCTTTTTTCTCCTTCACTTTAAAACCATTATCCTCTGAATTCGCCATGTCTTGGATTCATCAAATCCACTTTGGGCTTAATGAATTCGTCATGTCTTGGATTCATCAAATCAACTTTGTTTGTTGAAAATATGTGATTGAAAGAAGGAGAAAAAGGGAAACAAATAATAATATAAACTATTTTCGACCCCTCCTTCCATTTAAAGATCTACGGGGCCATATCGATCGAGAATCGTGTCACAAAAATGACAAATAATTTACCGTCATATTGAAACAATACGACCGATGACACCTTTAAGCAATTAGTGGACAAAAAGCTCCGCGAGTTGTGTTCTTTACACGGTAATCTCCCTGACGCTCGTATGCGTGTACCCTAAAAAATTTGATCGGCCAGATATTTGTGCACGACACGCATCCCGTACACGCAATTTAATTCGTTTGCAAAGCTTTTTGGATTCAAATGTCTAGAAGCAAGGCATGACTAATGACCGTTTGTTTTTTTGATGCAAGATCCACTTTTTTTCGAAACTTATTTTTTAATTTGTCGTTAAACTAATTACAGTAAGTACAGTAAATCAAGGACGGATGTATACCAATCAAATCTTCATCGATTTTTGACCATTGATAATTTAAAATGAATGATCACTCTCATCGAATTGATGATGTGGAAAATCCATTCACGTACTGTATGTCTGCGTGATCGAATCGACGCTTCGACCTCAGATTCTGGACTTTTTCCATATTAAGGTTTTGTTTTGAAAATGTCAGATCTGAACTGCTTATCATGTACATACTGTTACGTGTGCATCAATGAGTTCACTTGTCATTTACATATTCCGAATATGGTCGACTAGAATTTGTACAACGAGACGCAGACGCACAGATGTACTAAGCCAGTACGTACGTATTTTTGTTTTTCTGTTTTTTTTTTTTGAGAATTTTATGAAAAGAATTATTTATTGAGAAAAATCAAAAGAGGAATACCGTCACAAGAATCCCTTGAGAAAATTGAGGGAAGATAGGTTTTGTGCAAAAAAGTTGATATGTGAATCGGTGAAAACAAAAGAGAACAATATTGTATATACTGTATATATATGTATATACTGTATATAATCCAGTGAATCTCGGATCGATGTTAATCCAACGAAAAAGCAGTTCGATAAATCCATGTGCTTCAGAGGATAATGGTTTTAAAGTGAAGGAGAAAAAAGAAAAGGAAAGGAAGGAAAGGAAAGGAAAGGATAGTAGCTAAAGATTTTTTAAATGGTTGGGTATATGTATATGTGTACGCTTGTTTTAGGGTTGAACTTTTTATTGGAATTAATAAATGCAAATTTTATTTATAAGACTTAGAGTAAAATGATAAAGAAAGTGCGAAATGATAGCATGAAAAGGAACAAAAATATATACAGAACGAAGGGTACGAATAAACAAAGGTTATCTTCTATAATTTATTGTTTTTATTTATTAAGCCTTGGACGTTTATAAAGTTTTTCGCGCAATGACAAACATTACATATGTAAAAAAAAAAAAAAAAAACCTTATCATTCTTACAAAAAAGTCATGGAAGTGAATTACGTGAAATAGTACTGAAGAATAGAATCTTATGTCAAAAGAAAAAAAAAAAAAAAAAAAAATGGGATGCCAGGCTGAGAATCGAAAATAGACCCATGGAACGTCCAATTTATTTATACCATGGAAACAGAACAACATAAGCTGTTTCGCCTGGAAAAGGGAAAAGGATGTTGTTGTTCGATATAAGTGTTCATATCTTCGTTTTCGGGAGTCGCGCTCGCAGTTACCGTGTTATTGTTGAATAATTCATCCAGTAAACCGCTGCCGCCCCCGCTCCCACCATTTCCCTCTCCATTATGATCACTGTAGCTTTCCACCACCTGATCAGAGTTGAAGGCTTGAATTGTGGCATAAGAGGCTGGACCCGGATGTTCGTGACTCATGTAGTAGTTGAATTTGTCAACCGGTTGAGGATCCAAGTACGTATCTATTCCATGGTGATTGTTTAGTGCATGTGGTGACATGTAATCCGGAGTTGCGTGAAAAAATGTTCTTCCGTTCGCGTCTAAGGTGCCAAAATTTTGCACATGTACAAATGTGCTATTATTGCCGTTGTGATGAAGGCTGTCGTTAGAGGGCAACAGGTACTGATCATAATGAACCATCTCGGTTGGGGTCGGTGGTAGGTGAGTATATAAAATTTGTGTGGTGTGGAGATTCTGCTGTACCCTTAAATTGTTGGCCGACTGGATGAGACCTTGGTTCATGAGTGGTGAACGTTCACAGGAAGCCGACCCATCTTCGGATTGTGGGGGTGAAGGTAGTGACGAGGGCGACGATGGTGATGAGTTGGTTAGAAAAAATGGAGTCGGAGATGACCTGCTCTCGGCGAACGCTGATTCGGCTATTGCGGTGATCATTGCTTCATCGGCTAGGGGAGAACTCCTGGTGGAGTTGGAAATGGCAGAGAATGTAGCGGTTGAAGATGACTGTGATATGGAACTGCCTCGACCTTTGGAAGTCTTTCGCGTCTTCTTGGTGCCAGGCTTCTTCGGTTGATAGACATAATCGGGGTGATCTTGCATGTGCTTTAATTTCATTCGGTCGGCAAACTTATCCCATTTGAATCGTTCTTCTTCGGTTTCCTTCCACCACATTTTTGAGATTACTTTTGAAACTTCGGCGTTGGTCAAATTCTTACTCTGTGCAACAACCCCGGGTTGCTTATCTTTTCTATAAAGTATGAAGGCATTCGGCGGGCGTGGAGTTCTTTTTGGCTTTTTCGCTCTCGGTTTTCGCTGCCGAGCTCTTATCGTCGCCGCGACGTTACTGCTGCCCTTTTTCACAGCGGAGGCAGAGCCTAAAACCGAAGAGGTGAAGAGGGTAGAGGGAGAAGAAGGTGAGGGGGAGGTGGTGGTGGTGGTGGAAGGAGATGTGTTCGTTAGAATGAGAGCGGTCGGCTCAATTATACGCTGGTCGCTCGTTCCATGTTCAAAAGTCCCGGTGCCGATACTCTTAAATATCGAGCCGTCATCATAGGGATGGTAGACAAAAGCTTGAGGTATTTCTTCCTTCGCGACGGTGATTCCTTCTTCACCAATTTCGTTATTTTCATCAGGTTTGATGTTAGTTGTGATCGCGTCTTGTTGTTGTCCAGGTTCGGAGACATCGAACATCAAGAGGTGACAAAATTTCTTTTTGATTTCTTCGTTCATCACGGAAGAAAATAATCAAGAATTAGGTGCTGTGCGAGGAGACTCTTATCAAGAAATAATAAAAAAAAAAAAACTTTGATGTTCAAGAGAGTAGTGGATAAGTGGTTCCTTCCTGACAATTGCTGAAAGTTTTTATTGAGAAAATGACTCGGGTGGTCGTTTTTATATTGTGCGAAGGTTTAATTAAATTTTACTTTGAACAGTATATTTGTGATTAATGCGAAAAAAAAAAAAATCACATTCAGACGTCAGATGTCAAATAATTAACATCACTTGTCGTCAGATTAAATTAAGATTAAGTTGATTGAATTTTAGGGCTTAAATTTTGTGTAATCTTCGTATTCTGTAAACCAAATATACTATATGTGTGTATGTAACTTAAACTTCAAGTATTCTGGCCTTCATTGTAAAGCGAGATGGGAAATAATTGACCTATTATGCAAAAGATGAGGGCATTCCAATTAACGTAACTAGCCTGAAAGAATCCAACAGAAATCCCTCCTCCCTCCCTCCTCTATTGTCGAAACAAAAAATGAGTCGTCTGCGGGTGGTGGTTCGAGAAGATGAGGTGCGGTCAGCACAGATACGCGTAAAAGAACGAATGCAAGGTTCACCTCGCCTTCCTTTCCTCTCGTGAGCATGCGGTATGTTGAAAATTCACCTTTAAATTCTTCACGTGATTACACCAAAAAAGGGAAGGGAGTTTTTCAAATTCCACCCCACCCTTTTAGATAACAAACAAATCGAAAATATGAAACCAAAATAGATAGGCGCGATCGTGATAATACTTGCGTAAGTGCATGCGACATTCCTTTGATAAAGAAGGTATTTGATTCACATGTTTGAACTTGTGGAACTTGTGAAAAAATTTTTCCATCGGGTCTTGGAAGGCTCCATTAGCTAAAACTTTATTTTGATAATCCGTGTGAGCGATGGGACTTTTTTTTTTGGATGCAACAATTACAAAGGAGGAAAATCTCATCGTATCGATTGCAGCGACGACACTAACAACGCCAAGCAGAAATTTACCACACCAGCCTCGATCCACTATGAGAAAATATTCACGCGCTTAAGAATGTACATTATGCATTCGTAATAATGAAAAGCATAATCTTCCATTTCATTCAGGCGCCTCTTGATCTCCTACGTCAATTTTAAGGCCAGTACCCCTTGCGTTTGTTTGAACTTAAAGGGGCGTATGACAGGGGTGGGTATTCATGAGGCCATTTGATGTGATAAATACGCACATGCACTCATTTCCTCTAGGTGCACCCTCGGAAACCTCTGAGTTCTATTGTTGGGTTTAGAACCGTGAAAGATTAGCGTTTGATGCGAACTTATGTTTAAGAGTTTACTCTTTCTTTTCTCGCACCATTCAACTTTTTCGTTGCATATAAAGAAACCGTCGAGCAAGCGATTTCCTTGGTCATCAACTTATGAATGCTATCTAAAAAAAAAAAAAAAAAAAGAGTAAAAACTTTAATTTTAATAATCCACCTGTTGAAAGCTCAAAGATGCATGATTGATGAACGAATTTAATTAACAATTTGGTTCTCGAGGAGTTCGCTTATTCACGCACAATTTGAAACTGTTTCTCTCTGCACTCGATAATCGCATTAGATTATTCAAGGGAATGAAGATTGGGTTGAACAAAGAATTTTCTTTTCTCGGGGATTCAACCATTGGAAACACAAGGTGCTGCAGTAGTATTTGGGATCAGCGCGAGAATTGCATGAGTACCAATAAAGTTCCTGTTCTCATTCATCACGAGCAAATAAGCACAAACACGAGTAAAATGATGTCTTTAACAATTGAACATTATTAATGTCGATGAGTGCATTCGTGATTTACGAACTGAACGAGTTTGACACCAGGCTCACCTTACCGGTCATCACTATTATCCTAACGCTTATCGTCGTTCCATCACTTCATCAATAATAATAAGTTCGTAATTGTAACTTGAACTTCACACACTGTACCACGGCACTTTGTCCTTGCTTTGTGACTCATCTCATCGCAAATGATAATGATGATATATACAGTAAATAAACGAGAAAAAGAAGAAACGAAAAGAGAAGGAATATTGATGTTGTTTGTGAATACAATACTACATTTTTCTTATTGTCATTTTTCTATCATTATCACAGGGTTCAAAGAACTTTACTTTTAGATGACCTACAATCGTTAATTAATCCTTCAAATAGCTTAGCCCGATAACATGACCGATTTAATTCACTCATAAAAGGAAAAAAAAAAATCAGGAAACTCAATTGGATCGTAACAGCAAGACCGAGACCAATTTAATTGGTGTGCTCATATATTTCGAACACTCGTTCGCATCAAAGCAAACGGGATACGTTCTGCACACATCAAGGTATTATTTGTGGGATTGGTAACGAGTGACAAATAAGGGGCAATGGTTGAATGACATGTGACAGTGGTTCATAAATTCAATCGAAAAGAATATTATGTACATTTCGGCGAATAAATCATCCGAAACCCTATTAATTATGACATCCGTTAGTTATTATATTGTTGATCTTTTTTGGTCGATGGTTCGTGCGAGCGCGCATGACGGAGATTTCAAAAGTGGACTAGACAATTGATATGCAAAATGCGAGGGCGTCCGTAATGCATTTGCCCACGGGGGCAAAGAATGAATTCGACGTGTGATAATATCAAATAATGAATGAGAATGGAAAAGTGCGTGTCTTCCATACTCCTATCGTGAATGTACTTGGCAAAGAAGAATGGGGAGAATTTTTTTTTTTTTTTTTTTAATTGATAATGAAAATAAAAACAAAAAGCGAGGGTCAAGGTTCTATTAATTGTCAGACCGTTTCTCAACAGTGTTGAATGAGAACATTTTTGTCATAGCTGTAAAAGTAATCTTACACTGCTACTTCCCAAATTTGGAAAATAAGTGTCATCGAAAAAAGAAAGAAAATCATGCAATCAATCTTTTGTTTATTTATTTTCAGTTGTATCCTTATTCTTTTATTTAATCACCAACTCCATGGACTATTATTTTCACTCTCATCACCTTTTGGATCAAAAATTCACAGAAATATTTATCAGGTATTAATTAACCTTACACATTGTTAAAATATTGCTTTACTTTCCTAATAAAGAGATCTCGTGTCCACAGATGTCTTATAATACAATTGTGTGCAATCACGTTATTATTCCCTGCAAAATCCATGACCCTCGCAATTTTATTTTATTGGTGCACATCGCGGAAGGTGAAAAATAAGCTCATTGAGGAAACTATGGAAAAATTCAAAACGTTGAAATATTGATTGGTTCGACGGGACCCTCGTATTATTCATTGTACCTATGAGATTTTCACTAGAAAAATGCGTGCATACAATAACAAGGTTACAAAACAGGAGTCAAACCGGCTCTCTTAATGAAATCTCCATAATAAATATGCAAAGGGTCGAAACAACAAAGTCAATCTTTAATAAATTAAAAATTTCGGAAGATGGCCTTGGATAAACTATTTACGGATTGTTACATCAAATTTAAGCAAACACGTGTGCTACCTAAAAATCTACGGTTAATTATTATTTTCGAAGGCGCCAGTGATTTTTCGGTTCTCACAATTGTGATCTTAAAATTTGCATTATTCTGTATTTTGGTCGCCTTCAAAAATAATTACCCATATGAATAAAGTACGTGTGTACGACATACTGTACGTACGTATAATATTGAATGCCTGGTTAATTCCATCTTCACTGTTCCAAACATACTTATATGCCAAGGACGGGTACGCGAATCTGATGCCTGGGCAACCGAGGCAGCGATTGGTGTTCTCGGATTTATCTCGCCAAGGTGAAATAATGATTTGATGGATGGATAATAATTATTAAAAATCCGTTGCCCGAAAGTTTCTTTATTAATAAAACAATTGATTGAAAAAAACGAGCATCCCCCCAAAATAAAATAAATAAATGAAAAACGATTGGCAATTCATAACTCTTTTAACATATCATTCACATTGACATACAATATATAGCCTACGCTATACGTATGCACATTCGATATACGTACCACGTACATTAATTATTGGAAACATGATATCGGAATAAACGCTCAAACCTTTTCTTAATCGAGGATGTGAATTGCTCTTACTCGGAAATTCATTTACACTTTGACAACCGTATTGAAGATGTCCCCGGCCATTTTCAAAAGCATGAAAATTATTATCACTATCATCATTATTATCATTATTAATTAAATAAACAAAATCTTGAAAACAATCATAAAAGAGATTTTATTATTATTATTATTGTTTGTTTAATGCCACTAAAAAAAAAAAAAACGTTTTAATACCACTAAAAAAAAAACGTACGTGTTACCATGTACGTGGTACGTAGATCGATTAAAAAAAACTTTATTATTAATTACGATTATTTTTTGAATTTCTCCTCTTCAATTTTATCGTAAGAAATAATAAATGAAACTAAATGCAAGTGTCGATAAACTAATAATAAATATTTTAAACGACCAACCTTTTAACCATATACTATATATATATATATTTTTTTTGCTGGCTTAACCTTGTTTATTAGCTTTGATAAAGTAATGCAGTATATGATTTTGAATTGTAAGAATTACAAAGAAAACTACAAGTAGTTTCATATATCATTTCTACTATTAAATTTCCTAAAAATTTTAAACTACTGAATAACTTCAAATTGAGAAGAACTAACTTGCCAAGGTAAAACTAGAGCTTATTTCAACATTAAACAGATTGAAAATGTTAGTGTTATATATAATGAATTCCTTTAAATATTTGTTATTATATTTATGAAATTATTTTTAATAGCTTATTTATTTAATTATCAACTATTGTTAATTGTTTCTTTGAATTATTAATATGATTTCTCAATATTTTTATTGATTTCTTGGATTTCTTTTTCAGTTTTAAAGCATCCGTTTTACTATTTTTAATATAATACATATTTACAATTTATTGCTATTTTCCTGATGCATTT